CACCCCCAACAATTCAGACCTGCAAGATATCCTGAAACTCTTCAAAATGATGATCTTATTTTTTGGATGGAGAAACTGAGACCCAAAAGGTTATGAGCATTTAATGAAACTGTCCAGCCAGCGAGGAGGCTGGGCCTGGAACCCAGATCTCTTCACTCTCAGGGTGGGAGACACTGCATTGCAAAAACCCAGGGGCCACTACTCATTACGAAGTCTATGCAAATGGTGCTTCTGGGGCACAATGCCATTTAGGTGGACACTATGAATGGCGGCTCTTGGAGGGGTTAGTCAGCTGGTCACCCTGGCTCTGCTCCATGCCAGGCTGGTCATCCCACCCAAAAAGGAAGCTCCTGGGGCGAGAGGCACAGGCCCCTAGAGACGGAACATTGCCCTCCTTGCCAACTATCCCGTCCAATGGAGTCTCCGCAAAGGTAATTGGCTTTGTCAATACACCACCCAGCTTGCACTCCTTCAACATACCCCTCGGGGCACCCTCTCTGTGCCCTTGAGGGCGCCTTCCCCGGAGCTGTCACCCGAGCCTGATAAGGCTGTAACTCAAGCTTCCCCAGCCGCTTTGTCAGCAACACCAACAACCACACTCAACAAACATCAAGGAGGAAGAGGTCCCCCAACATGAAGGACTTGGGGACTTCCACAAAAGGGCCTGGTTGGATTAGAAGACCTAGGCCTTGACAGAGGAGGGAACAGTGACTGGGAAAGCATTCAGTCAGGCAAGTCGAAGTGGGGGAAGTGGATGACTCCTTGAATGCCATACCACCTGGTCCAATTGAGGACACAGGCCCAGTGACTCCTGGGAGAACCAGGATGTACACCTTGGAATCGGATCTGTCCAGGACTGATTCATTCTCCCCAACTAAACCCCAAACCTGGAGTGCTTGCATAAGAGAGCTCTCCTCTGAGGCCGAAAGAGGCAAATGAAAGGCTAACCCTTTATTTTTACAGTAAGGATGGTAGTAAATGAATGGCACCTGCTGCTCCAAGTGGGGGCGGGGCTGGGATTACAGACTTTCAAGGTACACTCAGATGAATTTTGGGATTCTGAGACTTCAATGGGAATAGGATAGAATTGTGTAGGGGGCGGTGGTGGCATGAGGATGAAAGCTGGGGACCCTAGATTCTAATGCATGCTTTGCTACTGAATCTCCCGTGACCTTGGTCAAACCACCTCACTGGGCCTCAATTTCCCCATCTGTAAAATGAGGGGGTTAAATGAGTTCCAGAGGTTCATCTTGTCCTGACCCTCTAAGCCATATGATCCTTGGTAAGGTGAGCCCCTCAGGGTTCTGACCCGGGGCAATCTCCAAGTTTTGCAGGAACCTGGGCCTCATCTAGAAAAAAGGGGCATCCTGGGGGAGGGGAACGCGCTGGGCTTTTATTTTGGAGGTAGGTGGGAAGCGAGAGATTTAAACTACATGGTCCGGGGGAGGCAAAGCTAACCGAAGGCTGGGAGCCGCAGTTTACAAGCCAACAGGCTAGCGGTGATCTCCAATCTCCTGCCGGAGCTTCAGCCCCTGAAGAGGCGATGCTGCCAAGAGCCGCTCGCGCACGAGCCCTGGTCGCAGAGGCTCGGACCCGGGACCACTACCCTGACCCCTCCCTAGAATCGCTCCCGAGCTCCGTGGGGAGTGGCTGCTGCTCCCTCCCGGGTCCCCCAGCTCCCGGCCCCCTCCCCTGTGGGGGGGACCCCTCCCCCAGTCTAGGGGCGCCGGGAGCCCCGTGGGGGCGTGGCGGGGGCGGGCGCCGGCTTCGCGGCCCTGGGGGCTGGAGGAGGTCTCAGTGGCGAGGCCGCCCCGGGAGGGACCCCGCGCCCTCCGCCTTGCAGCTCCCTACACAAAGGCGCCGACGGTGACGCCACACTTACCGGCCAGAGCGGGCTCCGGGCGCCGGCGAGCGGGCGGGCAGGCAGGCTGGCGGGAGGTTGTGCAAGCGAGAGTGTGCGTGTGTCTGCGTGTGTCCCTGTGAGTGTCTGCGCGAGTGTGCGTGTGTGTGTGTGTCGGGGCCTCGCTAAGCTCTGTGCGTCTGCGTGTGCGGGGGCGTCCGTCCGTGGGTCTGTCCGCCCCGCGCTCTGTCCCGCGTTCCGTGCGCGCTCCTTAGCGGGACCGCCTCACCAAATGCGCCTCAGCTGCGGAGTCGCGGGTGCAGCTGCCGGGTGGGTTCGGCACCCCCCCAGCCCCGGCTCCGCCCCGCCTCCGGGCGGGCTTGTGCTGCTCCCCGGGAATTGCGCAGGGCGAGCGGGGCTGGCGGGTGGGGGGCGGGGAGCTCTGGCAGCGCCCAGGGCCCGAGTGGGGCCGGGTCGCAGACCCTTAATCCTGACCTAGATCTCGGGCGCCCCCTCCCCCGTCTCTGCTCAGAGTCACCCCAAGCGCCGCCCCCGCGCCGAGGTTGCCTGGACTGGGAGGGCGGGGTAACAGGAGAACCGCATCCATTTCATTCATGATTTTCTCCTCCTGGGAGCCCCGGGCCCGGGCTGCGCCGGTACTGCGACCGTCAGAGGGATCCTCGCGGGACTGTGCGCGCCGAACGCGCTGTGGGACAGACAGGCAGACAGATGAGGGTAGGGGCAAGTGAGACAAAGGGGTCAGAGCTGTGTGTGTGTGTATTGCATGGAGGGGGTGCTGTGGCATGACCCTCATGATGCTCGCACGGATGCCCACACCTGCAGAAGCGGAGCCGTTGCATACCGGGGTTCACACAGTGCCGGGTGCCCAGGACCCGCTCTAAGGCTGGGAATAGGCGACCTCCTTCCTATTCTCTTTCACTGCCTGGGGAGCAAGACATTCCTCCGCCAGGTCTTGCCCTCCAGACGCGTCGCGGGGCGCGCACCTGTCTTGCCATTTTCATGGGCACCAGGAGCCCGGACGCGTAAGGACGCCCACAATCCCACATTCCCCAGGCTGGCACTCCGTTGGCCAGAGGTTCCTGACATTCCATCCCAATGGTGTTTTTTTCCCCCCAAGCGTTGGGCTGTACGCAGGGTGGGGATCCTTACGCTCCATTTTTCGACGAGGAAACCGAGGAGCACCACCACACAGCTACCACCAGACCACGACTCCAGCCACCATCCTCTTTCGCCCCCCCCCCAGCAATAGCCTCCTTACTGGCCTCCCTGCTTCCTCCCTTGGTCCCTTGCAATTGATTCTCTATACAGCAGTCAGAGTGACCCTTTTAAAAAGTAAGATCACGTTGCTCCTTCACTGGAAATCCTACAATCTCTCTCCATTTCATGCACGTGAAAGCTCAAGCCTCTATAACGGCATCTCATGAGCTGGTTCCCTTTCAACTTTGTAACCTCACTTCTTACCACTCCAGTCACCCTGGCCTTTATAATGCATCACCAACGCGGCAACCGCTCTGTGGCCTGAGGACCTTTGCCCTGCCAGGCACTTCCTCTGCCTGAAAACTTCCTCCAGGTAGTCACAGGGCTTGCTCCTTAACCTCGTAAATGTGTTACCTCGAAGAGGCCTTCTGTGACCACCCTATTTTAAATTGCAGGCCACTTCCCCCATTTTCTTCATGGTAGTCATGATCTTTATTTTGTGTTTCCTGCCCCCCCAGACTCTCTGGCTCTTCACTGGTAGCTCTCACCTCAGTCTTCTGGTATCCAATTCATCCAGCCTCACCAGACTACTCGGTTCTATAAAAAAACAAAAAAAATATTTCCCCATTTCTTGCCTTTGTTTATGCTGTACCTTCAGTCTGGAATGCCCCCCGCCCCCCATGTCTTACCTAATTTTTAAGGTCCAGTTCAAATACCTCCTCCATGGAGCCTTCCCGCATCTTCCCAGGGACACTCAGCCCCTCTGTTTTCTTTTGCTGTAATAGCAGTTCCTTGTCTTTCCCCCCAAGTGCACTATGGATTCCTGGGATAGGGCTGGGTCTCTTCTCTCTCCCCAGTTCACAAAACACAAGGTACCAGCAATGCATGTTTGTGGATCGAAGGCACTGAATGGGAGGCCCTTGCCTGGGCCTTGATTAGCCTCTAGAAGGGGCACAGAGCCCTGCTAAGTCTTCTTGTTATCCCCAACTAGTTTCCTGTGGGGCGAGGGGAGGGGTCAAATAAATGCCAGATAACCAGGTCATCATGCCTGTCCTGTGTGGAAATGTGGGTAGACATGTCAGCAGGTGCTCAAGGACACGCTCTCTCTCCTTGAGAACATCATCTCTGTGGTTCAGCATAAGGCTGATTTTCCCTAGACGGTGTCAGTGTAACAACAGCGGCTACCATAAATGAGTGCATACTATGTGCCAGGTACTGTTTTGTGTGTTTTTCAATGCACTGCTCTGTTTAATCTGCATGGCAACTTCGAGAGGTAGGCATTTTGATATCCCCCGTTTCTTAGGAGCCAAACCAGAAAGAATAAGTGACTTCCTTAAAGTCCTCCAGTTGATAGGTGAGGGGTGTGTGTTTCAAATTCAGATCTAGCTAATTCCAAAGCTTTTCTAGAGCAGGGGCACCTTAACAGGGAAGGCCCTGGGGGCTGATGGAGGGGAGGGGAGGGGCTTAGGGAGCCTCAGCAAGGTCAGCTGGCCTAGGTTCTTGCTGAATTCAGCTAGGGAGTCACAGAGGCCAGGCACTCCAGAAGGGCCTGGAACTCACAGGTTTTGGTCAGTGGTGCCTATGATGGCCTGTGATGGAAGCTGGTCCTTGTCCTTCATGAAGTCAGTTTCAGACATCCAGAGCTGCCTCTCAAACAGAGCTGTGTGCTCTGGATTCAAGCCCAGCCCCAGTTGTCAGATGTGGATGACAACACTTATCTCAAAGGATTATGCGAGGAAGAAGTGTGATAATATACCTAGAAAGTAAGAGGGGCTCAGAAATTATCTTTCCCCTTTACTTCTTGCAGGGAGTTTCTATCATATAGGGATGTACGTACCTAAACGAGTGTTCTTACCCCATGCCTGCCCTGTACACCCTCTTAGAATAGTTTTTAATTCCCATAGTCCAGTGAGTGTTGCCCTGGGGTGCAAATAAGGAAGAAAAGTCTCACGTTTATTGAGAGCTTTACCAATAGCTATCCATGTTGCTTCCCTTTTTTCTCTCCTTTCATCTGCACAGGCACCTTAGGAGGGAGCTATTGTTATCACCAACAAGGAAACTGGGGCGCAGAGAGGCCCAGGGACTTCCCTATGGCCACAGCCCTCACTAGGTAATGGCAGTAATGAGATTCTAACCAATGTTTGACTTTGCATTGAGCCAGCACCCCTCTTCCCTAACCCCATCATCATGGAAAGCAACCCCATCAAGTTCCTTTCTCTTCTCTGATGGGGAAGAAGGAAAGTTCTCTGAAACCCATGACAATGAAGTAGTTATGAGATTGGGAGGATTTAGGCATATTGGGTCATTTTGTGTGACTCATTTATCCTCTCTTGATTGAGGGAGGAAGAGGTGTTTGGGACAGAGAAAGATGGTCTGGTAATCAGAGAGTGCCTTGCTGGTGTTTTTTGATGGACAGTTAGAGATTAGAGTCAATATCTTTTGTTTTTGGCCTCACTTGCAATTCACTCTTGGTAATAAAATGTTTTGCTTGAGTGAAAATGTTCCCCTATCCAGGTTTTTATTTATTTACTTATTTATAACCCACTCCAATCCACAAAGGATTTGAGGTAGCTTACCACAAGATCAGAAGCCATAAAACAATGTTAAAATATCAATAAGGACAGAGAATCAGGACAGAGGAAACTGTAAATAAACTTTGAGAGACAAGACCAGGCTTAATAATTGCAGCTGATTTTTACTGAGTTTTTTTTTTGTATGCAAAGGGATTTATGTACATTATTTCATTTAATCTTTAAAAGAGCCCCGTAAGATAGGTAATATTATTATCTCCATTTTGAGGTATAGGGAACTGAGGCTTAGAGAGATTAAATATGATGCCCAAAGCCATGTAGGTAGTAAGTGGTATAGCCAGTATTTGAATCCAGTTTGATATTGGAACTCATGTCCTTAACCACTGTCCTGTCCTGCCTCTGATGGACAAAAGACCACAATTTGCAGATCACAGGGCCCTCTAGAGGACTGAGCCTCAAATTTGGTTCTGATCTTCTTGGATGCCAAAAAGAAAGGGGAGCAGTCAGTTACATAGAACTAAAGCCCTTACCTCCTCCACGTCTTTGCTCATACGTCACTTCTCAAGAGACCTACCCCGACCACTCTCCTTAATTAATACTGGAATCTGTGCCTTTCTGCTCCCTTCAGTAGTCCCAATCTCCATTATCTTTTCTACCAAGGTGGCACATTTTACCTTCTAACATTGGTTAATTTCTAAAGTATACAATATACCAGGGGTGCCCCCAAAATGCATACACACATGACTTGTATTCATCTTTTGTTACCGGTACATATTATTAACAATTTTAAAACAGTGTTTTCCTTTCTTAAAATGTGTATACATTTTATGGGCACCCTCTGTAAATATTACATATTTTATATAACGTAAGATATTCTATAATACATTCTATATTAATAAATGTATTTACATGTTACAAATTAATTAATTTATCTACTTAACTGTGTTCACTGTGTAATTGCCTGTCTTCTTCCACTAGAATACAAGGCCCACATGGGCAGGCGTCTTTGATATATCCCAAGTCATGGGCAATGCCTGGTATATAATAGGTACTCAATAAATATTTGTTGAACACATTGAATGATTGTTTTAGAGAGGAAAAAACAGATATATATATATATATATATTTATATGTATATATACAGTAGCCAAGTAGTTTGCTTTCTTTTTGCTAGCTCATATTTTGTTTCCCTTCCCTTCCCTCCTCTTTCTTCTCCATTTTCTTATTTCCACAAAGAATTTGAGGCGACTCTAGTACTTAACTCTCAGAGCAAGTCTGGAGGAGGGCTTTCTGATGGTGGACACTGAGGGTCCCTGTGGCCAATGACCTTAGTATCATTGTTTCAGCAAATGCATCAATGGGATTCATGAAGCTGATTTTGATGGGGTTTCTCAACAAAAACTGGACACCATCCCCACACTTAAACCGGCCAAGATAATCCTTAGGAGGGGTCTAGGAATAGTGTCCAAGTACCAGTCCCTAGGATTTGGGATTTGGGGCAGATGCTATGGGGCTGGAGATAAGAAAATAGAAAGCAGAGCTTTCGTGTGAAACGATTGATTTAAAGGGAGAGGACATCCTTGTGTTCCTAAGAGCTCATCTCCGGAGTCGTATTTCCTGGCTGCAAGCCTAAAGAGTGAAAAGCCAAGGACGTCAGCAAGGTTTGTCAGGAGAGAACCTGAGCTGAGACCAATTGCTGGGCTGTATGCGGTGGCGGCCTCTGGGGGCCGCAGACA